ACAAAGAATTCAAAATTAAATCAGTGGTGCACCAACGTTTCGTTTTGAACCAAAATCAAAGAATTTTGCCAACCACAGGGATCATTTTTGCAATTTTGTCATACTAAATATATAAGAAATATAATTTATTTATCAGTATATTTATAAAAATAAAAAGTTTCATTAACTTAAACTTAAATAATAAAATTACATAATAATAATTAAGAAAAAATAATAGCTAGCACACAAAGGATGATAAAAAAAAACATTCTTGTTTTGCTTTTGGGTTATTATCTATTTTGGGAAATATAAGATAGTTATAATATATGTTTGAAAATTGTATCAGTTTTTTCAAAAATATAAAATTGGTTTAAATAAAATTGTGGAAAAAGTTAGTTACAAAATATATTTTACATGCTAGCTGAAAAATTAGTTGACAACTGCAAAACTGTATGATAGCCAACAAAATAATAATATTTTGTAAAAACTAGCTAATTAGCTAGTTCTAAACTATAGACATATAAATGCATTTCGAAAAGTATGTTTATTATAATTAATAAAAAATATTTACAGAAGAATTAAAATAGTTATATAAGCTAGTTGAAAAAGCTATATCGAAAAAACTAACTTATAAACTATTTTTAAGCGTACCAAACGTGACAATTTAAAAAAGTTCGAAAAATAAGTTAACTTATAAACTAAATATGACACGCTAAATATAGCCAATTTTAATATTTTCATGTTTCATAATTTAAAACTCTTATTTTCATGTTCCTTCATTAATACTATAACTAGGATTTTGCCTGTAACAGCGGTGTCAATCCATTTTGTAAGTTGAATTTTAACGATTGTATTGATAAAAGTTAGATATTATTGTATTTGTTGGTAAATAAATATACAAGGTCGGTACAAAATTAACTGACGAAAGTTCTAAATTTTCGTCGAAACGTTGACCGTCTCAAATTTGTACCGACACATACATAAAAATTAGTTATTTTTAAGTTAATGAATGAAAGTTATTAAGAAAAATCTTATCTCTAATAAATAAATGGTTTTTTTGCCACTTGTCACTTTCTCATTCACTTTGCCAAATGTCATTTTTTTGTTATTTTGAATTAATTTTTTTTCCACATGTCATTTTATGAGTTTTTCTAGTTTATTAAATTCCACATAATATTTTAATATAATAATTACAACAAATGTAGTAATAAATGGATATTAGTTTAATCAATGAACTTACCTTTTAATTTCAAAATTTCCAAAGTTAAAACTTATTAGTTTCTTTTATTTATTTAAATTATTTGTTAAAATTTAAAAGATAAAAAACAATCCGATTATAATATGACAAAATTGCAAAAATGGTCCCTGTGGTATGTATTTTTTGGGGTTTTAGTCCAAACCACGACTTTTTTTTATTGGTGGTCATTTTGAGCTAGTTCCTTTGTGTTTTTGGTCCCTCAGTAAACTGAAAAGACTATTATGCCCTTCTCATATATATATATATTTTTTATGTCTTTTCTATTTAATTTAAATGAAAAATAAAATAATTAACTAATTTGGGGCCCACATCTCTCTCTCTCTCTCTCTCTCTCTCTCTGTCACCAAAAATCAATAACCCACCATTCCAATTCATGTTTGTTTGTTCTTCAACCTAGGAATTAAATATCCAAGTGTTCAAACCGGTGACCTTCACAAACGATGGCAACCCTCCTCCCTTCCCTTCTATTTCATCAAATCCAGCTGCTAAACACCTTCTGCCGGCTAAGCCCTCCTCACAACTGATTAAACGCCACCACAATCACCACGTACGACAGTTGCACCATCGAAAGTTGGAGTACCGAGAGAAGGAGCTCGCTGGAAGAACTGGCTGCTCTTCCTTCTTCCACCAATTGCAGTCACCCTCTCGCTATTTATTGTCGTTATGTTCTTCGTCTCCTTGATTGGACCGCCAATGATGAACAAATGGACCAAGGAGGAGCTTGCCGGACCTCGTTAACCTTTTTCTCCTCTTTCTCCAACAGACGGAGGGTTTTTCTAGGTTGGAGGGTTTTTGAGACAGGGTCAAGTGGTTTGGGGCAGTCATGAAAAACATGTGGCTGTATACTGCCTTTTCTAGGTTGAACATGCCTTTTCTTCGCAGATTTGATTTCATCATTGAAGAGTGGCCTATTCGAATTGAGAGCCAATCCTCTTCTCCAAAATCGATTTACAGTCTTCGATTTTTGTGTGTGTTTATGGTTGGGGAAGAAAAAGCAGGGGTGGGGTGTGTTTTTGATCTGCCTTCAAACCAATTCTTTTTCGCCTTGGTTGCTGCCGCCGGAATCGTAAATTAAACCCTTAGAGGGTCGCCGGAGATCGATCTCCCCGCCCCTCCTTGCGATTCGATCAAACATCACGGGACCATTTTTTTATGCCTGCTTCTGTTAGTCTTCTTCGATCTGCCATGGACAAAAGTCCTTTCCCCTTATTTGTGTTGGAGAGAGAGAGAGAGAGGGTATGTGGGCCCCTATTTTTATTTTATATATATATATATATATATATAGGAAAAAAGAAAAATGGAAAATAAATATAATAAGGGCATAATAGTCTTTTCAGTTTACTGAGGGACCAAAAACACAAAGAAACTAGCTCAAAAGGACCATCAATAAAAAAAAGTCGTGGTTTGGACTAAAACCCCAAAAAATGCATACCACAGTGACCATTTTTGCAATTTTGTCTTATAATAATTCATTATTATTATTATTTTTTTATAAATTCAAAGTTCTCAAATATTTTGACCTTTATATTTAACTTTTTTAAAAAAAAATTAACCCATGTAATACATGGGTCTTACAACTAGTTATGTATACTACAGGGGGATAAAAACGAAAGTGTACAAAATGAAGGGGGTGGAAATTATATTTTACAAAGTTTAAAGTGAATGAGGGTTAAAGTATAGAGAGGAGAAATGCCATTTTAGAACAATTTTAAAAAATAAAAGGGTAAAAATATAATTTTAAAAAGTAGATGAGACAAACCATAGGTGGAAACACTCACAAATGTTATATTATAATATAGAAAAACTACAAAATGGACAATGTGGTATGCATTTTTTCTGGGGTTTAGTCCAAACCTTAACCTTTTTTTTGGATTGGTGGTCCTTTTGACCATGTTTGTACGTAGATTTGGTCCCTCCCCAAATTGAAATGACAAAATTACCCTTATTATATTTATTTTTATTTTTCTTTCTTTTCTATAAATATTTATATATATTAAGTAAATATAAGGGCACAAATCTCTCTCTCTCTCTCTCTCTTTATCTATCTCTCTCTCATTGATGAACATGAAGCATATATTTTTCCAGGTGAAGATGAAGATGAAGGTAGCCCAAAGTAAAATCAAACCTACATCTGTTCAATCAAACCGAGGTCTCGTTGCCCTTTCTCATACGCACCAAAACTTATAAAACTCATGCCACCAACATTGTCTACCTCCACCACAACCCCCTTCTTTAACAACTTGCCAAGATTTTACCAAGTGATACATCTTCTTCACCTACACTTGCTTATCAAGATCTGTCAGTTCCTTCCTTCTATTATCATCGATACATCGACCACCACAGGGTTTACCATTTGAGTATCAAGAAAAACCAAAAACGGTGAGCCTCAAATCACATAAACAAGACATAACTCACAAACCAACATTGAATCTGATACATAAAATTTGGGTTTGTTCTTGAGCTCTCCATCTCCATCTTCTTCAGAAACCTATCCCACTTCTTCGCCGATTTGAAAACCATCATAAGCTTATCCCTCTCCGTCTCCAGATCTGAAGCCACACTCTCTCCATCTATGGATCTGAAAACCCTTCTCGGATATGTTCATCTCAAGCCCTCCATACTTTCAGTTCTTATTCCTCCAAATATTTGGGTTTGATCTTAAACACACACACACATATGAACTCCATGAATGAACGCAAAAGTCAAATAAATCCCCAGAAACTGTTTTTGATTTCGAAAAAAACTATAAACGATTACTGATGAACACACTCTATATTTCTAGATTTGTTTTCAACCCATGGAAATGAACTCCATGAATGGATCTAGATTGCGAATAACATCCCAACAATGATTTATGATTTCAAAAAAAAACTCAGATGCGAATTTTGATTTTGTATATGTGTATTCAGTCCCATAAACAATTAATCTTTGGTATAGTTTTCTTAATTGATTTTAGTTAGACTTGAAGATGACTTGAATATGACTTGAAGATTAGGCTCAAGATCTGTGAAATCTAATGTGTGTGTGTGTGTGTGAGAGAGAGAGAGAGAGAGGTGGACCCTCTCATTTTTTAATTATTAAAATAAATAAATAATTATTAAACTTAAAAAAAATAAACTTAAAAATAGAAAATAAATACCCAAGGATATTAAAGTCATTTCAGTTTACCAAGAGACCAAATCTACAATAAAACTAACTCAAAAGACCATGAAGCCAAAATAATCGTGGTTTGGACTAAACCTTAAGAAAAATGCATACCATACGGACCGTTTTTGCAATTTTATCATTAATATATAAATATAATTAAAGAGTTGTAGTGTCAAGTGTGTGATCTTAATTTTTCGGGCATTTAAAAGAAGTTAATGAATATTGTAAAAGTAAAGAACATATATAGTTGAGGTGTGAAAACTTTCTCCCATAGTCGTGTGGTGCACGAAACGATGTTTGTGCACCCACCCATCTTGGTGCCAAGTCAGCACGACTGTACCTGTATCCACATTTCACACGATGCACTGAAATATTTTGGTTTTATTAAGAAATAAAAGTTTTAAGTTAATTGGTTTTTATTACAAAATATTTTACACATTTTTGTTATATCATGTATTAAATATAATATCAAAAACTTTAAATATATTTTATAGGATGGAGACAATACAATTTAGCTTGAAAGGTTCTCTCACAAATGCATATGCAAATAATTGTACAAACATTTATTTATTACTATTTAATTATATTTTTATTTTTAGAGTTGCGGTGGTCATCACATAAACACAAACCAAACCAAACCAAACCCCAACCCCCCGTCCCCCCTTTTCCTCTCTTCCCAGTAACGACACACAATACTCCAACACGACATCGTTTTCTCCCCCCGGTACTTCTCCTTCGTCCCCCCCGTCGGATCTGAGTTGCACTTTCTCCGATCTCCTTCTCTCTCAGTCAGCTGTTTTGACTAGCCGTTCCTATCGGATCCACGGCGGGCATTTTCATTTTCAGATGGGAATGCCCGAACGATGAGCAAATCTGGCAACGAGGACGAAGAAGACAACGGTAACGACTGTTTCTACGAGTCTCTTGATCGCATACTTTCGTCAGCGACGTGTTCTTCGTCTTCTTCTTCTTCTTGTTCAGATGATGAAGATGACAGCGAGGTGTACTTGAGGGATCCCAATTGCAGTACTTGTCCTAGCAATAATGCTTCCGGACGTACCTTATCGATCCCTAAATTCCCAATGGGGGTTACCGGTAACTACGATGTCTGGATCTCACAGCCTTCGTCAGTCGAAGAACGCCGGTTGCGGTTGCTCAGGCAGATGGGACTTAGCCGCGAACCTTCTTCCGCCTCTAGACATAAACCGTCTTCATCCGTTTCGTCTGCCGCCGACTTAAAGCTTGGTAAGTCTGTCTCGGCAGATCATTTAGACACTGATGCTACTACTCATGCTCATCAAGTTTCTGGTTCTAACCCTGTAATCATCCGATCCAAGTCCGCCGATCATGAACACCGTGATTCTAATTCTAATTCGCATTCGCGGCAAGAAATTCTTTTAATTAATTCATTATCTTCATCCGCGGTTGATTCCGCGTCATCAGCAACTGTAAATAATATCGTTGATAAACATGTTCTAGCTAAATCGCCAAGCATCAATGCTAACGCTGCTTCGCCTAGTAAACCTCCAACCGGTAAAATCCTTAGGCGTAGCGAGGAGATTATTAAGTTCGACATTTCCTCAAATGTCAATAGCAATGACGGCGATGCAACAGGGATGGATTTGGATTGTGGTACTGGTAGGGAAGGCGATGATGCAGCAGTTTGTACAATCAAAAATCTCGACAACGGAAAGGAGTTTGTAGTTCATGAAGTTCGAGAAGATGGAATGTGTGAAAACCTTAAGGAAGTTGGAACAGGTAGGCATTTAACCATGGAAGAATTCGAAATGTGTGTTGGCCACTCACCAATTGTTCAAGAATTGATGAGAAGACAGAACGTTGAAGCTGGAAACAGCGATTTGCCTGATTCAAATGGTAATTCCAGTGGTGGGAGTGGATCTAAATCCAAAAAGAAAGGGAGTTGGTTGAAGAGCATCAAGAATGTCGCCAGTTCTGTTACAGGTCATAAAGAGAGAAGAAGCAGTGACGAGAGAGACACATCATCAGAAAAAGGTGGAAGAAGATCAAGCTCTGCAACTGATGATAGTCAAGATGTTTCCTTCCATGGTCCAGAAAGAGTAAGGGTTAAACAATATGGGAAATCACATAAAGATCTTTCAGCTCTTTATAAAAGCCAAGAGATTCAAGCCCACAATGGTTCAATCTGGACCATTAAGTTCAGTTTGGATGGTAAATATCTTGCTAGTGCTGGTGAAGATTGTTCAATCCATGTATGGCAAGTTGTTAGCTCAGATAGAAAAGGCGATCTTTTATTTGATAAACAAGAAGATGGAAATCTGAATGTGTTATTGATGTCAAATGGATCTCCAGAACCAACCTCATTGTCTTCTAATTTAGACACAAGTATACCTGAAAAGAAGAGAAGAGGAAGGTTATCCATAAGCAGAAAATCCATAAGCTTGGATCATATTTCCATACCAGATACCATGTTTGCCCTTTCAGAAAAACCTTTTTGTTCCTTCAATGGACATCTTGATGATGTTCTTGACCTCTCATGGTCCAAATCTCAGGTTAGTAAAACATTTTTAACATCTTCTTAAACCCTCTTCTTAATTACAAGCATCAACATTAACTTCCATAATTCCATGTCAGCATTTGCTTTCATCTTCCATGGATAAAACTGTGCGATTATGGCAGTTGTCCAACAAATCTTGTTTGAAGATCTTCTCTCACAGTGATTATGGTAAGGAAATTAAAACTACTCATGTTTGTTTATGTTGTTGCTATTTAGAGACAAGTTTATAACTTTTTTATTTGTTATTGCTGTTGAATGTTGATATACAGTGACTTGCATACAGTTTAATCCTGTTGATGATAGATACTTCATTAGTGGATCTTTAGATGCAAAAGTTCGCATATGGAGTATTCCTGATAGACAAGTTGTTGATTGGAATGATTTGCATGAAATGGTCACTGCTGCTTGCTATACACCAGATGGTCAGGTTGTCACCCATAAATTATTATATTTCTATTTATTTTTTTTCAAAGTTTAATAAAAAATATTAAAATAATCTTTTTATTAATTATTAAAGGGTGCACTAGTTGGTTCATACAAGGGCAGCTGTCGTTTATACAACACAACTGGTATGAAACTATGAATCTCCTCTCTCTTCCCTTTTTTTTTTTTTTGGAGACTCCTTTTAATAAATATTTTATATTTTCCAGAAAATAAGTTACAGCAGAAGAGTCAGATCAACCTACAAAATAAGAAAAAGAAGCCCCACCATAAAAAAATCACTGGTTTTCAGGTAATATATATAACCTGAAAATTTTAAAATGCTAATAAGTCTTATTTTGAATATTGCTAAAATTAGTAAAGCTATTATTAGTAAAAAAGTTGTTTATATTGTTAAAAAGAGTAAAAAGTATGTTGCTATTTTTACACAGTTTGCTCCAGGCAGTTCAACACAAGTCCTCATCACATCTGCAGATTCAAGAGTTCGGGTTGTTGATGGTGAAGAATTGGTTCACAAATTCAAAGGTTACAAATTTACCCCCTACGCTTTACTCAAATTCGCAATTTAAATCCTCCCAAACTCATTCTTAACTTTCAGCCCCTTTAATCTTGGTCTATTATCTATCTACAGGGTTTCGAAATACGAACAGCCAAATCAGCGCCTACCTGGCATCAAACGGGAGATACGTGGTATGCGCCAGCGAGGATTCGAACGTGTACGTGTGGAAACACGAAGGTGACTCACGTGCCAGCCGGACAAAAGGTGTAACAGTCACCCAATCATACGAACACTTCCACTGTCAAGACGTATCAATGGCAATCCCATGGCCTGGAATGACTGATTGGGGTTACAACTTTTCCGGCGAGCTGGACGTGGCGGTGGGGTCCACTGCCGCCGCCAACCACCACCACCCGCCTACACCGGAAAACGAAAGTAACGGGACCCACGGGTCCCCGTTAACGTCTGTTAACAGTCCGGTTAACGGGACGATAACGAGTGCTACAAACGGTTATTTTTTCGATAGGATATCGGCCACGTGGCCGGAGGAAAGGCTTGTTTTAGGAACTAAGAATCGGGGTCAAAGTCCGAGGACGAGTGTTGACTTTTCAAACGGGGTGGGCCCGGGGAAGTCAGCGTGGGGGATGGTGATTGTGACAGCTGGACTTCGGGGGGAGATTAGAACGTTCCAGAATTTTGGAACGCCAGTGAGGATATAAAAAGGGGAAAATGGAAAATATATAGATAACCATGATTTGGGTGTTTGTGTGGATGTGGATTGGATGGTTGTACAGATAGCTTCGATGATTGTAATATTAGCAGGAGAGAGAGAATTCGTGTTTTTTTTTTGGCTGTTTAAATTCGGGACTGGTGAAGGAGCCGGTTCGAGTAGAAAAAAAATTAGAGTTTTTTTTGAAGGGAAAATAACAAAAAAAAAAGGAAGAAAAAAAGGGGAAGAATACGGTTGAGAGTTTAGAAAGTGTTGAGGAATTGTAGACTTGGAGATATTAATTTGTATTTTTTTTTTACGATTTGATTCTTGTGTATTCCGTCTGTGTATCTTCTTATTTTTTTTAACTTATGTTTGTGGTGGTGGAATCAATGAATTCTTGATTTGTGTATACAGTTAAAATGTTTTTCAATCATAATTGGTCATATTGTTCCCGATTTTGATTAGTTTTTGTTTTAAGAATAAAGTAACTACTTGTCTTACATTGTTGCAAGTGGAAAACAGAAAAGTGAGTTACGTTTTACGTTATAAAAGGAATCTAAGAAGTTCTTTGATACCTTATATCCATTAAGTATAGTAAAAGATTAGATTTGGTAATGATTTAGTTATATACTGTTTGATATTTATAATCCTCAGCCTTTGAGTGGTTCTATAACCTCTGATATGCTTTTTATTGGGCAAGAGGTTGGACACGGTCTTATAGCTTTTGATAAGTCTTTGGGTTTGACTCAACTAGACCTTAATACGATTATATCTGACTCAATGGACAACTATAATATGAATCTTAGAATATGTTCCAAATAAATATATTTTAGTTATTATATTTTTTACAAAGATTTGTTATATTGTAAATGGTAAATCATATCATCTGAACCATATACGTAAACTTGTCCTAAAGATTAAGTGAAAGTTATCATTATCAATATTTTGAATGTGTAAGGTTTTAAACAATAGACCTAATATATATGATTGGTTAATAAAATCGAACAGACATATAACATGCGAAACCCAAATATATAATGAAACAGTGGGACTAGAAACGAAAATCGACATGTTTTTATGTTATTAATCACGTGAAAAAATAATAATATTTAAATATGTATTTTATCCTTTCTTTGAGCTCCCATTCCAAGCCCATGACCAATATATGCATTGGGCAATGTACCTTAATATCCCTTTACTTTTATACCCAAAATACATGTGACTGTAATCTAGATTCTCTTCTTTGATTGGATACAACAAACATAGAATTATCCAATTCAATTACCAAAAATGGTAAAGATAAAACAAAAGCTTACCAATTTCACCACTATTTATACCCAAATTAATTCATCATCAATATTCATTCAATTCAATTCAACTCCCTCTCAAACCCACATCAGCATTAATGGCTCTCCAAGCAACCTCTTTCTCCGTTCACAAGACAAATGCATCTTTCAAGGATTCAACCCTCTTCGGAGTTTCACTTTCCGACCACCGTCAACTCAGTTTCACCTCATCAGCATCAAGAACACGAAGCAAGGTATGATAAAAGAATCATGAATGTGTTGATATCGGAAGTGTACTTACCATTAGATTCTTGCAGGAATTTGGAAGAAAAGTGTTGAGAATTAAAACCCAAGCTGTAGCCACAACGACTCAGGCGCCGGGGGTAAACACTGCAGCACCGGAGAGGAAGAAGACATTGAGAAAAGGCAGTGTGATCATCACCGGAGCTTCATCTGGTTTAGGTTTAGCCACCGCTAAAGCATTGGCGGAAACCGGGAAGTGGCATGTGATTATGGCGTGTAGAGATTTTCTCAAAGCAGAAAGAGCAGCGAAATCAGTCGGAATGTCTAAAGAGAATTACACAGTCATGCATTTAGATCTTGCATCTCTCGACAGTGTTCGACAGTTTGTTAACAACTTCAAACAATCCGGTAGACCACTGGATGTTCTGGTATGCAACGCCGCCGTGTATCAACCAACGGCTAGAGAACCCAGCTTCACCGCCGACGGAATTGAACTCAGCGTCGGCATCAATCATCTCGGTCACTTCCTTCTTTCTCGACTGTTACTCGACGACATGAAACAATCCGATTACCCATCAAAACGACTCATCATCGTCGGATCAATCACCGGAAACACAAACACTTTGGCCGGAAATGTACCACCGAAAGCAAACCTAGGTGACATGAGAGGTTTAGCAGGTGGTTTAAACGGGTTAAACAGTTCCACCATGATTGACGGCGGGGATTTCGATGGTGCAAAAGCTTATAAAGATAGTAAGATCTGTAACATGCTCACCATGCAAGAGTTCCACCGGCGATACCATGAAGAAACCGGCATCACATTTGCATCGTTATACCCCGGTTGCATTGCCACCACCGGGTTGTTCCGGGAACACATTCCACTTTTCCGGTTGTTGTTTCCACCATTCCAGAAGTTCATCACTAAAGGGTATGTCTCCGAGGAAGAATCCGGCAAACGACTTGCACAGGTAATTGAATAAAGATTCAGATTAAATGATTAATCCTTCAAAAGGGTGCTTGTTTCTTCGCCATTTTTGTATAATAATGAAGGAATTTATCACTTATGGTGCAGGTTGTGAGTGATCCAAGTTTGACGAAGTCTGGTGTGTACTGGAGCTGGAACAAGGATTCGGCTTCTTTTGAGAACCAGTTGTCTGAAGAAGCAAGTGATGTGAGTAAAGCTCGTAAGGTGTGGGAGATAAGTGAAAAGCTTGTGGGGTTGGCTTGAATTCTTGAAGACTTCCATTGATGAAGATTAAGGAAGGTCTGGTTGCAGCTTGCAAAGTTGCTATGTGAGTGTAGGAATTTGGCGAATTTTAAGTTTTTCTTTTCCATGTAAATTTAGTGTAGTTTCAATAAAGGGAATCACTCACCTTCTTCTTTGGAAAAAAAAAAAAAAAAACTGAAAAATGTATCTGGAATAATAAAACTTATGGTATTTAGATATTTACCTTTTCATGTGGACAATATATTGCTTAAACAATTATATAGAAAATGAGGATATATATATATATATATATATATATATTATATATATATATATATATATATATATATATATATATATATATATATATATATATATATATATATATATATCCACTAAATAAGATATGTTTCTAACGACTAAATAGAAAAGAAAATGACAAATTCATCTTAACCCATTTGGCATAATAACCAACCACTCCACAATGGACATTATGGAGTAGTGAAAAACCGATCTAAGTCTAAAATTGTAGCCCGAATGTATATATACGAGGACACATTTAAAGATACCAGACATCTTGAACAAAACATTCCCGACAATGGTGATACTGAAATTCTTGTAACCTAGATATAAAATATTTTGTGTGTTTTCTACCATGTATTCAACGACCAATGTTAGTTTTAGTGATTAATGTACTTGCATTTATGTCTATAAACGTTTTTATTTAGTCCAGAATGCGTAGAACAAGTCCAGAAGAATCAAAACATCTTTAGAATACCATATTGCATGTAATGTTCCAAGAATTCCTCATGTGTTTTGCCCATGTAGTGATTGCGCCGGGTGGAAGTGCCTTCAACCAATCACTGGCTGCTTCCTTGAAACTTGAAAGTGACCGGTAGCATTCTTAATAACACAGTTTCGCGTGGCACATTTGGGATGTTGAAGTAATCGGCGATGTCACTAACTTCATCAAGATGTTTGTAGGCATCTTCATGATCTTTTCCGGTAAATGGAATCTCTTTTAGCGCAGCAAGGATGTGCCCCTTGAGTTCAAATGTAGCAGTGGCTGGAATGGTAGGTTACACAAGACCCGGTCCAGTGTCATCACAAATTCTTTTCTTGTATGCCTCCATGGAAAGGTCGGCAATGTCCGCCATGATGTTATCGGGTTCGCTTTCTTCGTCTGATTCGGTTTTGCTTTCTCCTTTGTCTGTTTCGTACTCGGCGTCCTCTTTTGTTGGATTGTTCTCAATGCTTTCGTCTTTTGGTGTTTTGTTGGATTCTCCCACTTGCTTTCCCTTCTTCTTACTAAAAACCGATTTGAGATTCTTGAAAGATGATTTCTTTGGTGTTGTAGATTCTCTTACGGTTTTATCCGTGTTTTTACGAAAAGCTTACTTTGGGTCTTCAAGTGGTGGAATCAAATGTGTATTTGATCCACGTGTCATAAACTACTACAATAAAAACAAAGCAAACGTGTAAAAAGAATAAAAACAACAACTGAAAATTAACTGTTACTTCACCACGGCGTGGTGTTTTTGACCACAACGTGGTGAGTCAAAGAGAAGAAAAACTTAAAACGAAATTTAAAAGCAAATAAACAGAAAAATCCTAATAAAATAGCATATTCAAAATAATTAAAATTGGACCGTTCCCCGGCAACGGCGCCAAAAACTTGATGTGAAAAATAATTACACACTAGTTTTATCCTACTAATGTAACTAATTTCTACCTAAGGCAGTGTACCTTGTTGTAAATAGTATAGCACAATAGACAGGTATCGAACACATGGAACAATATTATTAGCTAATTCTTACCTACTACTAACTAAATTACTAAGAAATTTAGAAAAAGGTTTTTTCTCTAGTTTTACAAGATTAGAAACTTAATTAACTAAGCTAAATTAACAATTAACTAAAGCAATTATCAAACTAAAGCAAGAAACAAAAAGAAATGATTTAAACCAAGGTATTTGAGAGACTTTCGTTTAGCTTCAATTTACTTGCTATTATGGTTGATTTATGGAAGTGCAATGAATTAATGTTCAATTGGTTACCGATTCCTAAGATGACCAAGTTAATATTCACTAAATTAATCCTTTAGCAAACAAGTTCATTCATACGGTGATCAGGCGGATAAACTAACAAGCTTACTAGTGTTCGGTTCGAGTTAATTTAGACTTATAATAGATTGATCAAATTGGTTAATTTGATTCAATTCAATATATTATAGGTCATCATATATTAGCTCCCACAATTATTTACCCACTTTTCTATCTAACCCTAGGTTTTAGTCAAAACTCTAGTCCTACAATTTTTGCAATCCACAAAGATCATAAGATTCAAGTTCAATTAAGAAAGATAGTCATGTAAACTTAATTAAACTCAACAATAAATAGATAAAAACAGTTATCATAATCACAGAGGGTTTTTTAATAAGCTAAATTAACAAATAACTAATAAAAACTTAATCTAACCATAAATCAATCCATAGATAGTCAAGCAAATCTACACCAAACGAATGTTATAGGGTTTTAGCCCATGATTTCAGCAACTAAAGTCAGAAAAACGAATTTCATATGCATAGACATGATTAAACTAGAATAAAAAGTCGTAATTAAGAGTTTTATTGCCTTAATGCTCTCAATTCCCAAGCTACAATCGATTTCTTCACTTCTAA